CCAGCTCTTTTGTCGCTCGAAAACGCATTTAATCATATCAAAATAGTTGTAAATTTTCCTGCTCTAATTATATTTTTTAAGGAATAGGCATTTTGAACAAATTAAGAATCTTTAAAGTCTGTCAGACTTTGAGTTTAGCTTGAGACTTCTGTAAGAATAAGTTCCAGCTATAATGATGGCTGCCATATAACGGAAGAAAGTTTTGCCTAGTTTAGCCCTAAACTAAGGGGGATGCTTCGTGGGCCGCGTCAAGATTAGGGTCGTATTAAACACAAAAGAGTGCAGGACAACGAAAATCACCCGTTGCCTTCTAGTGAGATTAACCAATGAATCTTCTGGACCCACCTTCATACGAAATTAAAGTATCCGCAACAATGCAAGAGATTCATCAAAACTTAATTATTCTTCGTATATGAAGAAAATTATACTTAAAAATTAATTGCATAGACAAAATAATGCATACAAAGGCAAAAAAATCTGCCAGGGCTTTGAGCAAGACAGACAAGCGATATTCCGAGCGAATAGTGACAGACGTTTTACACCACTCATGAACTCAGCAATCAAAGAAAGCTAGTCAAGGAAAAAGTAGAATTAATTCGAATTCATTGTCCTCAGAGATAAATCCTTCAACAGGGATCCAGCATCCAGGAAGATGTTCGATGGAGTTCAAAAGTCCGGTCTTCGTTTCCAAATCACCATTCGCAGCCCAATTCCAGAGTGTGATCAGAGCCAAATGTGGATTACTGCTACATCCCAAGGTGATGTCGTCTATCTCAGTAGTCATCATTGTCTTAGTAGTTAAGGTATGATAGGATTGACCAGAAGCGATCACCGGCAAGTAAGACAATGAATCTCGATTTTTCAATTTCAAAAGACGTCCGGATCTGCCTTGGGAAAGCTTAGTTGGACTGGATCTACAACTGCGAGTAATCACCTGCCACTCAACGCAGGCTTGTCGAGGAAGGTCGGAAACCAAGGCCCAGGCCAAGGATGTGGAACATAGGCAGACAGGGACGCAGTCCTCATAGGAACCCTCATTCGGTTGCAGTGAATGGTATTCATCCCTCGGACCTGATAACGGGATTTAAATGTGGAGAAAAGACAGTATACAAAAGGAATCATTCATATATATTAGATTATATGAAGGCTTGGAAGGATTACACTTATTTGACATATTATGTTTCAAAAAAGAGAAAGGATAATACGAAATAGTTGGCAATTAGCAATAGCCAATAATGAAGAGTAGAACAAAATTTATACTTTAAAAAAATGTCTGTAATATTGTCAGATGATACAAACAGAATGAAAGAATTTATCTCATAATTCAGATAAAATTATCACAAATTTTGATAACGGTTACCGAACCTCTATCTTGGACGTGTCAATGTGTAACCAATCTTCTCAAATCTGGAGCTAAATGTATTTCCGAATATGTGACTGTTGACTTCGTTTAGTAGTATCACTTCAACAATACCAACTTACTCTCATAACAAAACAATAAGTATTAGCATGAGATTTTCATTCTTGAAATTTCTTAAAGTAATCAGAAAGTTTGAAAAACCAGAAATGATTTTCAATGAGATTCGCTCCAGGTCGTATAATGATAGAGGGGATGACAATAATTCTACTTATAAGAAAATAAAAAGGAGGCTCGATTCGCATTGAATTTCACGGTGCGTTGCACTGAATAAGAGCCCTCCAATCTAGACAGGCATGACACAATGAAGTTGGACGCAAATATAAACTTCCTCTTTAATTTAAT